CCTATCGCCAAGTAGGTCGCTCGAACTACAATGGGAGGTATCAGAGAACTCGGGGTGGCTAACCCAGCGAGGTCTCTCCAATGCTTAAGCCAGTAATAGTATATGCGAGCTGAGAGTTTGAGAACAAGGAGAGCTGGAATGCACTAAATCGCGCGTACCTTTTGAGGTTGGAGGTAAGGCCTTTATATAGGCATTGTTTGGCGTGGGCATCACGCAATGTGTCCGGGATCTCCGGGAAGACGTGCCTAACTGCTCTGAAGTCCTCGGAGGTAGTTGTGCACGTAGGCCAATCTTTGTGCCTTACTCGGTTTCCTCCAAAACATTCGATGTGAGAGCCGACTTCCGAGAGACCCGGGAGTGATGGGATGCATGCAGAATTCATCGGTGAGCACGTCTTGCAGGTCACCACCTGAACCTCAATCAGGTCGGCCAGCCCTCGAGGGAGGTCGCTTCAGCCGGTACTGACGAGGTACCACAGGTCGGCCCTGGACGAGGTGGTGCTAGCCGCCCTGAGTTGTAGACGAGGTCGCTAGATAGGTTTCCACCAAGCTGGTGGAGGAGGCAGGTCGCCAGTTCGGCGGCAGAGGCAAGTTGTTAGGTCGGTGGTGGAGGCAGGTCGGCAGTGGAGGCAGGTTGCCAGGCCGGCAATAGAGGCAGGTCGCCAAGTCGGCGGCAAAGGCAGGTCGCCAGGTCGACAACAAAGGCAAGTCGCTAAGTCACCAGGTCAGCGGCAGGGGCAGGTCGCCAGGTCACCAGGTCACTAGCTGTGACTCCATCATTTTGGCTAAGGCAAGTTGTCACCTAGGTGGTTCTAGGGTGTCACCCAGTTGTTCCAAGATGCAATGTGTCATGATGTCAGTGGAGGGCCAAATCTGCCCTCATCAATTGCCCCCCACTCCCGAGCTGAGATCAGCTCAGCGAAGGGAGTAGATTTGTGCTTCGTTGTAGGTCATTTGCCTTGTTACCAACATATTTTGAGGTCGACAAAGGGGCCCTTGATGCTGAAAGCGGTTTGGCTTCCCCTTGTGATATGTGCGTCGATGTTGGAATTTAAATAGCAGGTTGGTGTCATGGCTACACTGTGTCAGTCCTCTAAGGTGTTGGTCGTCTATTCCTACGATAAGCCACAAGGAGTTCAACCTGTGGGGGCAGCTTTACTAACTACAGGTTGTCAACTCACATGGGAACCTTGAAAGGCTCAACCCGCAAGGGCAATTGCAGTCCTTTGGTTGCTAGCTCCTACGGGAGCCACGGAGGGCTCAACTTGTAGGGGTGACCTCGCGAACAGGGCTAACAAGGCTCGTCCGGGCTGATTATGTGTGTCGCCAGGTCGGCGGAGGTAGGTCGCCATCTCGGCGGCAGAGGCAGATCGCTAGGTCGGTGGAAGTAGGTCGCCAGGATGGCGGAGGTAGGTCTCTAGGTCGCCAGGTCGGCGGAATTTTGCTAGTCTAGTTTTGCTCTCAGCACCTCGGCCTACAAACACCTCGTCACCTCGGCAGGACTGACCTGCGAGGGCGGCTCCACAACCTGCTGGCCATCAACTCCCACGTAAAGCATGGAGGGCTCGATCTGCGGCGCAACCTCACAGTTTGTTGGCTATCAACTCCCACGAGAACCACGAAGGGCTCGACCTGCGACGCGACCTTACAGTTTGTTGGCTATCAACTCCCATGGAGGGCTCGACCTTGGGGTGGCCTCACATTCTATTGGCCGTCAACTCTCGCAGAGAGTACGTAGGGCTCGACATATGGCGGTGGCCTCACAGTTAGGGAGATTCTGTCTGGGCAAGACTGCAAGAACTCGTTTGGACTAATCATTTTGCTTCTGCCCCTCTAGGGGGTTCTATCGATCAAGCGTTGTTGTTGCTACTTAAAGATGTTATTACTTGAGGCTCGGAGAATCGGGTGAGAACATAGCATTTTGTAGCGTTTCCCACAGACGGCGCCAATTGATGGTGCGCGATCTGGATGTTCCTAGTTGTAGGGCAGCTCAAACGCCTATCGTTAAGTTGGTCACTCGAATTGCAGGGAAAGGGAGGTATCAAAGAACTTGGGGTGGCTAACCCGGCGAGGTCGCTCCGATGCTTAAGTCAGTAATAGTATATGCAAGCTGAAAGTTTGAGAACAAGGAGAGCTAGAATGCACTAAATCGCACATACCTTCTGAGGTTGGAGGTAAGGCCTTTATATAGGCATTGTTTGGCGTGCGCATCACGCAACGTGTTCGGGATCTCCGGGAAGACGTGCCTAACTACTCCGAAGTCCTCGGAGGTAATCGTGCACGTAGGCCAATCTTTGCGCCTTACTCAGTTTCCTCCAAAACATTCGATGTGAGAGCTGACTTCCGAGAAACCCAGGAGTGATGGAATGCATGCAAAATTCGTCGACGAGCACGTCTCACAAGTTGCCACCTGGACCTCAATCAGGTCAGCAAGCCCTCGAGGGAGGTCGCTCCTCACGTCGAGGTCGCTTCAGCTGGTATTGACGAGGTACCATAGGTCGGCACTGGATGAGGTGCTGCTAGTCGCCCTGTTGTGGACGAGGTCGCTAGCTAGGTTTCCACCAAGCCGGTGGAGGAGGCATGTCGCCAAGTCGGCGGCGGAGGTAGGTCGCCAGGTCAGCAACAGAGGTAGGTCACCAGGTCGACAACAGAGGCAGGTCGCCAAGTCACCAAGTCGCAAGGTCACCAGGTCGCCAACTGTAACTCCATCATTTTGGCTAAGGCAAGTTGTCACCTAGGTGGTTTTGGGGTGTCACCTAGCTGTTCCGAGATGCCATGTGTCATGATGTCAACGGAGAGCCAAATCTACCCTCACCACTAACCATAATCTAACACTAAGCCAATAGTACAACTATAGACATCAGGTCCAACTCGGGAAGTACATTTGCCGACTCAGAAAACACACAGATAGACTGAACTCTAAAATGAACTTGAATGGCTATGCTTAAGCACATATATGCTTAAATTTTCATAAAAACAGGCATAATAAACATGAAGGGGTAAAGAAGGAAAAATTAATGGAAAAAACAATCCAGATTCTAAGGATAATAGTGGTACCTCTAGAAATGCTAGCTAAACATACAAGTCAATATATATATATATATAGTTTTTCTAATTCACCCAAAGGAAACAAAATATCTCTATATAAACATGACCGAAAGCTACAAGTAATAAAAAGTCAAAAATCCACCTACCAAGTTTGAAATATCAAACAAGACTACCATGGAGAAAAAGAAATTCAATATTATAACTTCAAAATCAAGTTTCACACAATAGATCATCAACTATCCTGCGAGAAGAAACTAAAATATTCTTCCGATTTATATTACTGGAAAAAATGTTGTACAATGCACCAATTAATTTAAATTACTAGGACAATAATTCATTCATCAATTTTGAGGAAAAAGTTTAAACCAAAGTACAATCCCATGTTAGGAAATCTAGTCTACGAGTTCAAACAAAAATGGACAAGCTCCAATTTATATGATGGGAAACATATGTTTTACACCATGAGCAAGTAAGTGATCATCATATACCAACCAACCTACATTCAACAACAAATACCCAGAAATTCTAGCCCAGATTGCTGCTTACCTTTAGATAATCAGAAATAGAAAATAAATGAACATGGATCAACCACAACACAAACTCAAATGAACTTTCCGTATGATGAAAAGGAAGACCGGATATGGAGAAATTAAACTAGAACATGCTTTAAGTGAGTATAGTTAATAGGAACTGACCGTATTACCTTTCTAGGCCAGTATAACAAAATAGTTTTCTAATAGGAAAAAACTTAAATCTAAAACTCTATAATTTCCCACCTTTTATCAATGTCAAGACCACATTCTATTGTTCTGTATTATTTTACAGCTGAAGTCATTAACCAAGTGGATGTTTATTTTTTATTTTATTATCATTATTATTATTTTTACAAATAGAACAAGATGAAATCATGGGTTGGTCTCATTGAATGCAAGTCTTCAATCTCTTAGATCAAGTTTGGGTATTGTAGAAAGATTACGGAAAATTGGAGCCCAAGGTCGGGTTCAACCCAACAAGGTTTGCTATCTGAAACCACCTCTGGTTTATACACTTCAGCCCTTCAAATTTCATCAGTTTCAATCTCTAATGGCATTCCAATCCTACAGAAAGGGTATGCTAATCCAAGCGGAATTTCACAAGGTAAATTAAGGGCATACTGGGATTTTAAAGTTATTCTAAAGTCGCCCCTCCGTTTCCCTCAGTGTGTTGGACAGAAGGAGAGATTTATAGATTTAAGCTATTGTCAGATTAGCGAGTGGACATTTAAGAAATTATGACAAAAAAAAGGAAGGGAAAAAAGAAAGGCCAACAACCCATTTCAAAACAAACGACCAAAATCAACCTAATTTTCAACAACAAGTTGGTGATCATCCTCTAGAAGATCCGATAATTCTAACCTCTGGGGGACCCACCCAATAAGATGGACGACCAGAAAACGATACATGCATTAAGTTCAACAAATAAATAAAATATAGCTAATTCAGAGAGAGAGAGAGAGAGAGAGAGAGCAACACTAACCCTCTCTTTAAGAAGAAAGAAAACTATCAGCCAGAATAACAAAATCCCACGATACATGTTTCACAGCATGCTTCAATCAAATCCAGTAAAACGGAAAAGAACAAGAAATTGAATCATCGTATACTCAACAAAGACAAATGCTGCAATGTTAAAGCAATTTCCAAAGAATTATTGAATAAACAAGGAAAGAAAAACAAAGGCTTGAATCACATGACAGCATTTCAACAACAAAATAACTATAAGATCAAAGAAGCCCACAAGACAAAACCAAGCTTCAGGACAATTAACAGCAATAAACACCAAGCCAGATCAAAAAATAGCACAAGAGAGAGAATTTCTTAATTATAAGATCCATCCTATTTTTATCTGGAAAAAGGAAAGACAGCAAAAAAGAGCAGCCCAACTCTTAGTTGGAGTGCACAACGAAGAATGACTTACTTGGTGCTGGAACGAAGGGTGGAAGCCATGTAAACCCTCGGAGATCTGAGATTGGCCACAGAAGGAAGACCAAAAGAAGTAAATTTTTGGGACTGAACGGAGAGTGGATCGAGCTTCAAAGCCATTGCTTCGCTTTCCTCCACACGAGAAAGGGGACGAGAGGGAGTGAGGGAGAAACGCACTCTGACGCGCATACACACACGAAAGATGATGAATGAAAGAGCATAGCTATTTAACAACGATGAATATACCTTCTTCCCGAATGCTGTGTTAAATTACGTAATTACCCTTATTAATTATGAATAATTATCAGATGTAAAATTTAGGTGTTTCTGTGTATTTCTGAGCGGAGCATGTATTGTACAACAAAACAAGTTCCAACACCGTACTAACTTCGTCGTGCATATTTCATATTAAATTGGGGTCTATCTTGTATGGTCATGTGTTGAGGAGTTGGCCGTGTGGGGTGTTTTCTAGGCCTGATTTTTTAGAAAAAATGCATATATTAGTAGCTGTAGTGAGCCCATAAGCAGTGTTTAGTATGGCTTCCGTTTATTCATATTATCGCCATGTGGATATTTGTCTCATCATCCTATTCTGTGCAGTCTTAATGGTAAGTCTTGTTTTATGTGCAAGCCAATTGATAGGGAAGTTTCATTTTAACATTTCCCTCAATACTAAGTATTTATTTACTGTTCTGCTTATGTGGCACCTAATGATGCCTAGTGGTGTTTAACTATCAACAAACACTAGAAAAAATGTTTATCAACCTTTTTTCCGACTTTGAAGATAAATCCAGTACAAACATTTATTTAATAAATAAAAGCTATACTAAATACATACCAAATGTGCTTGGGATCAAACCTTCAATTTAGTCAATATAAAATCATCCATACAATTCGTTAGAAATATTATGAAAATGAAAAATAGTTGCTATTTTTTTCATTCACCAATATGGCTTTGAAGAATAATAAGTACATTGCCATGCAAAATATAGTAGTGCCTGTTATGTACTTCAAAACAACAAATAAACCCTAATGCAATCATCAACTGAACTCGGGCTCCATGGTTTGATACCTATTCAACTTAATGAGAACAATTATTAATTAAACCCATAGCATAAAACAAATGATGTTACAACCACAAGCAATGAGGGCAACATATCTATTGACTATCACATATGAATGAACCCCTATTGTCATCTCTAGCTGGGCAACCAAAACTTGGCCTAAACCCGACCAATTATTAATTGGGATAGTTGGATCTAAGCCAATTATACTTCTATAATCATCCATGTTATAACAACTTAAAACTTGGAATCAGAGCATTATGAATGAATTTTGCCTTTCAGGCTTAAAAAACAACTTAAAACTGCATTTTTGATAATATAGCCTTAAAAATGACAAAAAAAAAAGCCAATTGTTTATAAGTTAATAAATCAAACGTTTTTTTTTTTACCAAAATCTTATATTTTATATATTAAATTTATCATTTTAGACAAAATATAATAAAAACAACAAGAAAACTGTGAAAGATTTATATATTAATAACTCAATAATGGGTTCGTATGGTAGAACCGACCCATTGACAGCCCCAGATTACCGCCAGCTTTTTAGTTTGTGGGTCGGGTCTTGGGTCGGCAGGTTGGGTCATGGGGCCCATATCTCATCATTTGGTTATCGGATTCTACTTGTGGGTTGGCGGGTTGGGTCATGAAACCCATATTCCCAACATTTGATTATCTGGTTTTACTTAACATTGAATTATCTAATGTTAGTTTAACAGAAATTTATTGAATTAATGTTTTCTATTTACACTAATAATGAATTTAATTTAACAGTAACTATTGAGATTTAATAGTATTTTAATTATTAAATAACAGAATTTAACTTAGCAGTAATTTTAATTTCAATTTACTGCATTTAGTTATCATAAAATTCCTAAATTAATGTTAATTACAGTATAGATTAACAGTAAATAATTAAGTTACCAATCATTTTATTTCCAATTTTACTAATTTACCGTATTTAATTATTGGATTTACTGTTAATAAAAAATTACGGCATTTAAAATCATTGTATTTCTGAGTTTTACTATTAATTTACTGCATTAAGTTACCAATCGTTAAAGTTACTATTAATTAATTGCATTTAATTATCATAAATTTTCTGAATTTACTGAATAATGGTAATTCTTCATCTGTTTAGAGGCAGAGTGATTTAATCAACTTTTGGTTTATTGATCTTATGTTAATAAATCTTCAATTAATTATTTTATTGAGAATTTGAATGAAACATGCAAAATAGTGCTAAGTATTAAACTTAGATTTATCAAATAGTCTATTTCTAGAATTAAGATATGCTCCTCACATTGACCTCACAGTCACATTCCACCATGTATCAGGAACATTTCCCCATAAATAATAAATATAAATATGGGAGATGTTTCCAATGTGCAGCCAGGATATATTATGTGGTCAATGTGAGGAGCCCTTTATGGGTAATATATCTGAACTCCTATTTTTATGGGTAAGGATAAATTTAATAGTTTAGGCCTATGGAGAATTACTTCAACTCAAACAATTTTATCTTTTTGGAGCCTCTCCAACAGTTTTACATTTTAGACTCTAGATTAATAGCCTTTTCACTTTTAGACATTAGACTTCAAACTTCAAAGTTATTAAATGCCATCAAGTAGTACATTTAGTTTTAAGCCATTATAACCATTTGAGTGATGGTTGAATTTGTCACTTGGCAACCTTTGCAGCCGTCCTCTCTCTCAAGCCACATTGACACCAAGGACGATTAAGGAGTGTCCTGTATAGATAAGGAAGTGGACTCCACTGAGGAAAAGGAAATCTCCCGAAGACTTCGGTGGGCACCCTCATCCTAATAACCCTAGAAGTTCTATCCACCTAGGACACGAATACCCAACTATAAATAGGTATTCCCATTACCCCACTCAAGGTAAGGGATTTTTGGAAGAATACTCTTTGAATATCTCTTTGTAGTATCTCTTTAACCGAGATTAGCGTTGTTTCAGCTTGTTCGGCTTGGCCACCTCTTTCTCTACCCAACTAACTTGAGCATCGGAATACCTACCCGAGGAATAACTTATCGGGCCTCTGACCTTTCTTTTGGTTGTAGATCTCAATGTGTGGCTTCGTCCTTCCACCTCAATCTCGTCTACCTGGCAAGATTCTGATTGTGTCATCAGTTTGAAACACCTCGGATCGGACAACATCAACATTTAAAACTCGTTAGTAGGGCTGTCAATGGACTTGATATTGGTCCAATGTGACCCAATTCAATATGAGTTAATTACAAATGGACAAAGTCCAATCCAATCTCATGAATACTTTGGACTATTTTGGATTAGTCCAATTCAATGTCTGGGCTGTCCAATCTATTCAAATTGGATCCAACACAAACCTAATCCATTGACACTTGTACTTTTATCTTCTATGAATGGACCAGATATTGGTTCAACCCAACCCAGTCCAATATAATTCCATTACATATGGACAAGGTCCAATCTATATCAATCCAATAAATATTTAGACCATAGAGTCTGGATGGTCTAATTCGAAATATATTTTTGGTCTGTCCAACTCGTTTAAATTGATTTTGATACGGACTGGGTCCAACCCAAACCCGATCCATTAATACTCCTATTCGTTGACAAGCTTCCAAAATCGCATGATACCCAAGCAATAGAAGTCGATGTGAGTTTGAGTAGACGGCTAAAAGCAACCAAGTCCAAACAGGGCCTCTCTTTGGCTTGACCCGCTTTGGACCTATTGATGGTATAATGTTAATGGTTAGGTTGAAGCCGGGTTACAGCATTGACAAGTTGAGAGGCTTCCAACAATCCAACCAAACATTTGTCAAAACATGATGTCAATTAAATGCCATATGGTTTTAAAAATGGGAAGTTCCCACATTTGTCAAAACAATTATGCTAGGAAAACGCAGGGAAAGAAAAGGAAGGGAAATCTTTATAAATCCTAATATATATTTTCCTGTATTTTCCTACTTTTTCCTTCAAACCAAACATAACCTTATGAGAAAGCAAATGATGCTTGCATTCTAGAATGGAAACCAATAAATGGCTCTAACCTACCAGTTTATTATCGATCGTCCCTTTCATAACCGCTGTGTTTGGTATGAAGGAAAAGATAGGGAAATCTACACAAACCAAACACATTTTATTGAATAAAATGGTTACTCGGTTAGCTTGTGTAGCAAATTTCCCACAAGTCATCGTAGAATCTGACTCTAGCCAGGCAATTTCGGCTCTAAACAATGCTGCCTCTATCCCTTTTTATCCTTTAGGGGCATTATGGTCTGATATTTTGTCCCTGGTTTTAGACACCACTGTTCGTTTTGTTCATGTTAAGAGAAATTGTAATGTTCTGGCCCATAAGTTGGCGGCGTCCCTGACGCGGGGTGTGGGTTTTCTCTCATCCCCTGTTTTTGGGAGTTTTTAATGAGATCTTAATTACCAAAAAAAAATAAAAAGAATAAAATGATTATTCACAGAGTTCAAAGTATGAATAAGATATTGCATATTAGGGGTGGATTCAAATCAAGCTATTTGTGACTCATTCGATCTTTGGTATATATAAGAAATAACTTTATATAATTTATAAGTCTGACTCACTATCGAGCTTGAGCTGGACTGATCTCAAACATAGGAGCTTTTGAGTCGAGATGAATTCAAACTAATATTTGTAGCTCAAATCAAAGCTCAAGCCTCAATTTGAGCCTTACCTTTTTCTGTCAAGCCAATTTCTAATATTCTGAATACATGGAGTTAGGACATATAGCCACTTTTAAAGATTAATACCCTTTCTGGAGATGTCCTGGTTTAATTCCTAAAGCCTAATTACCTTATATCTAAGCGTATCACCTATTAAAAAAAAAACAAAATATGCAATTTTTGTGCATCGTGATTCATGCACATCGATACTCTAAAGTCTGAACCATGTTTATACAATAAAATATTTAGGGGTATAATAATAAACTCAACATGTCATTTGGTCATTAGACAGTTTACAAGCTATTTAAGAATTTATGCACTAAAAGGCAAAGTAACAAGTCATATAACTCCAACAACTCTAGATTTTTTTCTCCCAAGATTGTTGGTCTAATGGGCTACATATCCAATCATGAGTGAACACGCTCAGTGTTACACACACATGGGACTCACATCCAGATCTATGGAACACTAGATGTTCACTTATCATTAGTTACATAGTATACAGCCCTGTGAGCAGCAGATCCGAGCTCCTATAGGTAGGAGTGCAAGTTTGGTACCTAACTTAAAGAAATTAAATAATATTTGGCCCACGCCCATTTAAAATTTGGCAAAATTCTCGACTTGAGCCCACCCAAATTGCAGCCCTAGTTCTAAGGTGCAACTTGGGGTTGGGTTGGATCAAATTTTAAATGGACCCAAACTGAAAACCTAAACTCAATGTAATTGATGTTCAACTCAAACAACTAACTCACAGCCCTCCTTGGAAGTGCATGTTTAGGAGGATTGTCTTTTATTTGCCAGTAACAAAATTGCACCAGAGTGGAGTAAAATTTGATCTTTAACATAGTATTGGTATTTGGTACAATCCATTTGACAATTTGGCTGTTCTATTACATGATTATAGGATCATACAAATTCGTTGCTTTTTTTTTTTTTTTGGCTCAGGGTTGGTCTGGATTTCATTTGCCATGGAAAATTAGGTATTATTGTTCCTTTACATCATTTGGTTCATTTTGTTGCATCAGTAGGAACTAATGATTTCAGATTGCTACTATTTTCACAACATCCATAACTTTTAGGCTCAGTTTGGGAAGAGTGCAAATACAAATACAAACAGCACAAAACCTTGTATATGGTATTTCTAAACCTTTTATTTTTGCATTGTATATATTTGTATTTGCACTCTTACAAAACTGAGCCCTATCATCTTCCCCATTCACTATTTATGAAGATATCATTCGTTTTCATTTGATTCTATTATGACAGTGTAAGTTTTCTTCAGTGATTTATACTATATTATAGTACGAATGTCATTGTGAAGTAATGTTATGATACTTAAGGTTCCATTTGGTTGCTGCGAATTTCATTTTAACTGGTTTAAATATCTAGGACTGATAGGAGTATAAATGGATCGACTATAAAATCCTTATTTACTTTTGCTTTTGATTTGACTTTGTTTTGTTTGCTTGTAAAAAGTGAAATGATGTGGTTGGAGGTGGGGAGAAATTTATTTAGACCAGTTTGGGAAGAGTGCAAATACAAATATGTACAATGCAAAACCTCGTATATGGTATTTCTAACCCTTGTATTTGCACCATATTAGGGGAAGTAAGATTTGAAGCAAATTGATGAGGTCCCCACTTTACATGAGAGAATTAAGGTTGGAGGAAATGGTGCAAAATTTGCATCAGTTTTCATATGCAAAATTTGCACTGTTAATGAATGAAAATGAGACAAAAAGTGCAAGTTTTGCGTCAGGCAAAAGTGTGAATTATAGTCACAAACAAAAAATTGAACTGGGTGCAAAATTTGTATGTGGTTCTGATCTGCATTGCAAATAAATGCAGCCTAAAGAAACTTCACGGAATCAGTGTTTTGCTCCCTTAGTCCCTTGTTCATTTCAATAGTGAAAATATGGGAGTTTCATGAAAGTAAGGAGATGGAATTTCAAGCTATACAAGCAATAAGACAGAGGAAAAACATCAGTACAATATTGATAAAAAAACATCAGTACAATTTAATTGTGAGGATCTCTGTATTCAATTTATCACTCCCTAATGTTGCTTTATTATTTCTGATACAAGCACTAATTATACAAGACTTTAGTTAAACATCTCAAGCAAAACACCCATCAAAGAAGGAAAAAATAATAAAATAGAAAAAGAAATATAAGACTAAAGATAGAAAAATCACACAATTCACTTGAATGGCTTCCTTCCAACTCCAACAGGCAAAGATATGGTGGAATCCACACTCAAATTACCTATTGAAGGGGTAGACTTATGCTTCCCTGATATCCTTTGAGACATGGAATCCTTGCTTGAGAACAGAGAGCCCTTGTTCCACCTCAGAGATCCAATGCTTTGGGTTAAAGGAAAAGATAGTCGTCTCTTTGCTTCTTGACTTGGAGTTGGTGATCCTTCTTTGAGATTGCTAAGAGTTCTCACTTTTGCTTTAGCAGAAATTGTTGGTGCCATGTAATTGGGCATGGAAAATGGTGGGCAGCTTGTAAGGCTCTCATCATCTCTCAATGTATAAACTTCAGATGCACTTGTTCTTCGCTTCAGATGCTTCACTGGGGTGGAGCTACTTGTTTGTGGCGCTTGGCTTGATAGAGTTGCTCTAAGTTTCGTTCTTGTGGGCATGGATGATTTTGAAGATCTTGGTGTAAGGGCCTCAAGGTTCTCAAAGCCAAACCTTCCTTGCCTGTAGTTACTTGATTGTGGTAGTGGACTGTGCTCTGAAATGGGCTTGGATGGTGTTAGACCATTCTTTGCAGGAATTGTTTGGCTTTCAGAGATCTGATATCCTGGAAGTTGTCGTTCCATCCAGTTCCACCACCAGGGGAGTCCTCCTGATCTGATATCCATAAGGGCTGTATGAGCTGATTTAAGAGGGGCCTTCCATAACTGGTTGAAAGCAAAACAGGCATATTAAACTCCGTAAGTCCACAAGTCCTTAAGCAGTATTTGAGACTAGAACAAGGTTGCAAGACTTCAATATAGTAAAACCAGTGTTGATACACTATAACCTAAAGTTGCATCCTAGCATCTTAGTCTCCCTGCTACCATGAATTCATGGTAAAACAAGTGTTGACAAAACTGAACCTGAACCTGATTTTCTTTTGGAAGGTAGGACCTGAACCTGAATGGGTGGTTGAACTGGCATCCCAGTAAGCCTTCTGTTCTGGCTATTTGATGGTTTTTATGGGATGAATGTTGTAACAGGTAGATAAACCAGTAAAGCCATGACTCAGTGAGCTTTCCAGTTATTCATCCAGTTCAAGTCTGACAACAGAAAACAGAAATCTATGTGCATGGGACTAATAATACCTGGTGTGAATATGCATAGGCCTGTGCCCTCTCTCTCTTCATGACAGCTTCCACCTTTCTTCGAAACCTTGCATCTATTTCCTCTTTTGGAAGTAAGCTATCATCCCAGTCTTGTTGACCTGTCTCAGACTACATGATAAAGTAATTTTAATAATTAAATTCAGCTACACAACAGAAAAATAAAATACAAATTAAATTGTCAGAATGAATTAGCAATTATTCTGATTTCTATAGCTTAAAATAATCCCCTTCTGATCCTTCTAACTAATAACATAGAGTTTTGCTTGCATGGCCATAACATTCAAACAAGGATCATAGGCTCAGAGTCTTTCCCATTAGAATATTCTATGTTGTGGGAGCCTGAGACCAGGACGAGGCAAGTTCAGGCCTGGAACATAAATAGCTAGGTGCAAGTGCAAACAAAGATTTTTGAAAAACAAGACCTTCTCCCAGCTTAACAACAGGTAATTGGATTTTTTGTGGGGCCATGAACCATGATACTTGGTCTATGAAAAAACTCGTTGTTTAAAACAGAGAAAAGGCCCAAAACTATATCCTTAACAAATTGAGCTTCAATTGTACATAAATTGCAGGAATAAAGTGGGCTAGGTTTGGATGCTCATTCTAGGTCATGTGTACCCCTATTCATACATCACACATGCATGATTCTAGATACAAAGCAAGTCAAATCTTGAGAACTTACTGTTAGAGTCCACCTTCCTAAGCTACTCTCTACATCCTTCTCGCTCCTATGTAGAGTCTGCCTTTCGAGAGCCTGGATTTCCAGCATCTGGATCCTCCGAGATTGTATTTGTGTTTGGACTCTAACTAGGAGTTGCATGCACCTCATTGCATTGATGGTCTGTCGTCTCACACTCTGTCCTCGCATCACTCCCTGTAGCCTTACTAGACCCTTGAGAGCTCGGTAGCTCCTCCTAGCCTGCATCACATTAAGCAAATGTTCTCTTCCAAGTTCAATTTGAAATTGTTATACTAGGTTCATGACTCTTCATATGGTTGGAACATTTCCATGTTTCAAATTCTATTTCTATCTATACATCTTTCTTCTCATAAGCTATTATAGGCAAATGGAATACCGTCTTTGAGCACAATTTCAAGGCACAAAGATGGATCAACATCCACCATCCAAGCCTTCAAGCAATTGAAATCTTTGATCCCCTTCAGAGATCAATCTGGTTATGTGATCATCACCACTGGACACTGAGGGAAAAGATTGTATGGTGTGACCCATGTATTCAGGCTTGGATTGCTGAAATTATCTGATTGGGTTTCATTGGCCAGTGGACCTCTGCACTTGCATATTTGCATGTACAAATGATACACAAATTATTTGGAATTCATCACTTCTCATCTTCAGTTATTTGAATTTATTCAAATCCTAATGAAATATGGGGGCTTAACTTACCATGTAACCTCTATAGGCTGTTTGGATCTTTATAGCTGAAGTATTGATATTCTTAGGAGGGTGTGTTGCATTGTATTGAATTTCTTTATGTTGATTAACAACCCTGGAAGGCATGGTAGCTGTGGAAGGAGGAACCTTTTGTTGTTGATCGGTAGACTTTGATTGCGAGAAAGGTGTGGAAGTTTGAGCTTTCTGTTGTTGATCAACGGCAATAGGTGGCAGGGAAGGTATGGAAACATGAACCTTTTGTTGTGGATCTGCAGAAATTGGATGAATGGAAGGTATGGAGGGCTGAAACTTTTGCTGTTGATCAGAAGACATTTGATGAACCTTTTGCTGTTCTCTTTCGACATCTCCCAATATTTTCTCGATGCTGCTTGGCTCTCTATAGAGAGGTATGAATGAATTGCCATCTCCATGCCTTAACTTTCCTAGCCCCCACTTCTTCTTTTCCTTCACAGTTCTTTTCTCTGGTCCCTGTGCTCAAGCATCATACAGAACAGCCTAAGTTTCCAAGTGAAATGCAGGGATTCATGCTACTTCTGCTTTGTTTCATAAGAAAGCTGACTAATAGGCCACAACTGAACTAGGGGTGAACCACTCTCATGCTTCACCTAGTACTAAAGTGAAATATCTACTTACATTGGCTATCTTCTCTTTAGAGTTGGGTACAAGAACTCTCTTGATTGCAGAAAACCAACTCCCTTTCTTTCCCATGCTCCAAGCATCACTATATCACCCTGTAGATAAAAAACACCAAATGATACTAGTTTACGTAAAATTGACATACATTCAACAGAAAAAAATTGGCATAACTTTACAAAATTTTGAATGCAATTACACAACTTTTGATCAAACATATATTGACCTACAGCAGAACCATGAGATGGAGGGTTATGAGCTGCTTCTATCTTTAGCCTCTGGAAAATAGTTGAAGACTTACAAATTTCTAGATCAAGGTCTAAACCCACATGGATACAAACTCTATTACAAAGGCGGCACCACAAAAAATCATCTTTCTAACTTGAGCTTCCCTGTTTATTGAATTATAGAGAACCCTCCAGGTTAGGCAGAGGTATGCAGTAAACAATTCACATAGATACATGGTTAAGTTCTTTTTTTTTGGTATTTGATACATGGTTAAGTTTTAAGTTTGAACTCTTATAATTTGCTATTATGGGTTTCCATTTGGGGGTTTAAAACTTTATAATTTTAGTTATATTCATTGTTTTGAAGACCAATAATCAGTTTCTACACAAAGCAAAGCTTTAAATAACCACAGTTTAGAAAAGCAGAGAAAATTTAGTACCTTCACTAAAATTCAGGCTTCAGAACCTTCATCAGTGAAGCTTCTTCAACCGGAAAGAAAAGTGATGGGTCTTGACTCTTGAGTCTTTACTCTTTCACAAGCTACTTCCTGATAGAAGAGGAAAAGGATGAGTGAATTTTCGTAGCCTTAACAAGCACACATATGAAGAGTATATGAAGCTTTGAACAGGATAAGAGAAAAGGCTAAAGAAGAGTTCTATTAGAAATACCAGCAAGTTTGCAACAACGATACTAGTAAAAGGTAAAGGCGAAGCAAGGAAAGAAGCTTGTTATTTCTCCAAAACTTTTCATTTGAAGTTAAAAATGGAAAATTCTTCTCCAGAGTCTAAATTGTAGCAGTTGAAAGTTAGTTTTGTCCCATTAATTTAAAAAGAATCATGTGTTTCAGTACAGAAGAAGAAACCCAGAAAATAAAAGGAAAAAAGAAAAAGAGAGAAATATTATGGGAGAACTCTCAACATATTCCATCTCAATACAATAAATTGTTCAAGTGAAAGTCTGCCTTCTTTTCTCTACCAAAACAGCAGCAGAAAATTAAAAAGGGATTTGAAAAGAGAGAAAAAAACTAAAATTTACAAGGAAAAGATGGAATTAAATGGGAGAATGAATACCTTGGCCAACCATCTCACCTTCCAGCACCTTCACAAAGCTGTTTCTGTGCAAAAAGGAGAAGAAGGAGAGAAGGAATTAGTCTTCTCTCTCTCCCTCCTCTCCCCTGGTATACCAACTACTTTTTTCCTTCATTGTCTTTCTTTTCCTTCTCTCTCTGTCTCTCTCTCTTCAAACTTTGAATCCGGTTCTTCCTTGCAAGGACTGGATTCACTTTTCTTCCACCCTTTTAACTTTTCTTTTTTTCTTTTCTTTTTTTTCTTTTGTGTGAGGATGAATTTATAAAATTTTCCCTGGTTTGATGACGGGGTGGTGGCCACTTTCTCACTCCATGACCCTCAACCAACTTTACTTGAGTAGAAAGCCTACTGAGACAGCAATTCCATTTCAGAGAACAGTCGGGTTTCTCTCTTTCTGATTAAAATATCATTTTAGTGTTAGGAGGATAAGCCATTGTTAGGTACTTTGGGCAACCACTACGTTGAAAAAACTGGCACCCTATGTTGATCCTAATTAATGATTGTGTGCCTGTGGGACCACAACACTAAAGTAGAACCATGTGATCTCAGCCATTGGATCATAGTTGTCCTAAAGATTTTATGGTATATTTGGCATGATCGTGGTTGCAGGTCGGGTGTATATTTATTGTTGCAACATCATAGTATCACATGTGCATGCACGTGAAAAGAGATTGCTGCATCATGCTATTCTGTGCACACGCACGGAGAGAGTTAGACAGACTTTGAGAGTTTGGATCCATGAGATTTATTACCATGATCCACATTTCTTAGCGTGAATTGCAATTTATTCTATCAATTCTTCTTACAAGGACGACCTTGTTGGGCATATGGATCGGATAGTGATTTGGATATATTTGAATCGACCCGATCAGAATTTGAAACGTTAAAATAGGATTTGGCATCGGAATCGGAATGTCCCACTCCAATTCCATTCCAGCGGTTTGGTTGAGCAGAATGAGATTTTGATTCTCATTCCTAGAGATATAGCATTCTCTTATTTGAGGTAATGACCACTTCAGCCTTTTCTCCTTGAGAATAAGGCTCAGTTTGGATGGAGTACAAATAATAAATATGTAAAGTGTAAAATCCTGTATTTTATATGTATTCATATTATACATATTTGTATTTATACTCTTTCCAAACTGAGCCTAAGAAGGCATTTGATACATAAAAAAAGACAAATGACTTAAGACCCCTTAAAACCTATTTTTTTAGTAGACACCAATTTTTTTTTAAGAATTTATTATGAAATCTGATTCTGATTCTTATTTGAACCAAACAGCTGGCATGAAAATAAGCCATTCTGATTTTGATTTCAAAGGATTTTAATTTAAATTCTGACCACAAAAGGCAAATAAACTCCAAATTCTATCAGATATTGGACCGATATGTGAATAGACTCGAACTCAATTTGTTTACATGATATCTGATTCGATTGAAATATCAAATTGTCATAATTTCCAAGGTTAAATATAAAAAAAAACATATATTCTAAATGAAATATATTGTCTGAATTTCAAAGCCAATTTAATTATAAAGTTTTTAATAATAAAAATAATGTTTTTTTATCAATAATAAAAAATAAAAAAGAAATAAAAATAATGTTATATATATTTTAATATTTTATATATGTATATATCTATTTTCTCAGCCCATCACCATTCACCGTGCAATTGAACCATTGACCCATCTATGTATTATTTTATTGTTTTCGAATTTTTTATGATAATTACATCATGGGTTGGTCCAGGCTGTTGAACCATTGACCATATGACCCATTCAACGGGTTACTAGGTTGTTATATTACTTTATTGTTTCTGGTCTTTTTTTGTGACGATGATCTCACAGGTTGACCTATTGACCTGAAAGGTTGAACCTTTTAGATCAGATTTTAAAACACTGATTTTTCAAGGGGTTTTTACTGTTCAGTTCACCCCACAAATCTTAATTTGTGCTGCTGGCTTGGAATTGATGCCAATATATGGACGGGTATTGACGTTTAATTGGAGGTATTTAAAATTTTGAATTATTATAAATCTACAGTGAAATTCAGAATTTTGAGGTAGAACACAGTCAATTTATCCCTTTTCTTTAATCAAATTCGCATGGAATTTTTTTAATCAAGCAATTTGAAATTTGTTCTGATCATGTTATTTAATCCGATCCGATTAATAATTAAACGGATATCCAAATCCGGCTTTAAGTGAATCGGATTCAAATCTGAATAGAATTAATTAAAATCGGATCCATTTGCAGCCATACTTTCTCACTGGGGCCCTTCTTGCTATTTTGGGTTTTAATACCTGGATAGAGCATCCATGTTATATGTACAATGTAATGGTAGATTGGACTCTGGTCTATAGGGTTCGGATTTTTTTATTGGGACGTGGAATTCAATCATGACTTAAAAAACACCCCTTCTTCCATGCTAGAGGCTGAAGTCACTGAGCATAGGGTGAGGGTGAGGGGTCCACATGGACACCATCCGGGATACAAGATACCGTGGGCCCTATGTCTAATGGAACCAGATTGGCTAAAGACAAAATTATGCATATATGGGATCCACACCTTATGAGACCCACACCTTTCCAAACACTAACATATTCACTCATGATAAATAGCCTATCCCTATGTACATGATTTTGTCTCGAATCAATCCGGACTCTAGTGTCCAACCCTCAACGACTCAAGACAAAATGATTGGGTGATCCAATCCCTTGATGGAAATAGACTTTACCCCCTTCATCAATGTTGCTGTTACACTTCACAGCATGTTCCTTTCGTGGTTCATTTCATGAAGAATTTTTGCTTCTCAAACACAAAACTGCATTCAGTTGTTCTTTGGGCACAGTTTGTTCCCATGGTTTTGACACCACATACTTTTCTATTTTTGTCTGCTCTCAGTGTTCTCAACTAGAAAAGAGTTACCAATGATGTGTGTATGATGTTGTGGGTGATCCATGTCAAAATCATTATTCATATGTTTTTTTAGATAGAAATTTTGTATATTACACAACCTTTTAGGTTGAAATATAGTTCAAAGTTAACCACATGCTAAGGGTCATAACCGGAAAGACATTATATCGGAAAAATTTATAACCAATTAACCAGTATTATAAATAAGTTAATCAATGGGGTGGTATTTATCAAAATCCATAGGTGAACTTTGATTATCATGTCTTTTCGACATCATAGATTTTCCTTTGAATTAAACACATTAACCATAAAAATACAACTAAGGGAAAACCTACTTGTATTGAACTTGTTGTTTATTCTATATTTTAGTTGTTAATATATTTAGCTCAATTGTCAAAAAAAAAATTTTTTTTCGTCCTTGGAGTTTCATGACTTTTACTGCATTTGGTAGAGGTTTCACCAGTTGTTCTCTCCCGGTGCTCAGTATTGCTTCATTATAACTCAATATGTTTGATTTGATCTCTGTTGTTGTCTTTTGTTGTTTTATTGTGATTGATGGTATTACTTGGGTTTGTATTCAGAGCACTTTATGAATGAATTTTGCTTGTTCAGGTTAAAAAAAAGTCTGGGTATCATAGGTTTCTTCTATCATCAATGAAACACTACCTACTTGTCAAAAAGCAGGAAAAACTGAATATCAAACAGGCTGATTTTGTAATGGAAAACATTCAGAAAGGAACACTTAAATTGACATTCATGAAACAAGTTATGACAATAGTTCTCCATTTCACTAGATATCAATCAACTTTGCTAGTTGAGCAGTTATAGGGTCTCCCTCAGGTGACTTACCCATGGTCTGATGGTGGGGTATACATATTTTTTCTCAGAGTTCATGTATGAAATTTGGACCCAAATGGAGGTTGGAACATTATCTAAAACTTGATAGCTCTGTTTTTGCAAAAATTTGTAAATTTGTAAGACATGAATTGTTTTGGAAGACATGGCTAAGAGTTTGTTTGTTTTTTCTTTCTTTAAATTTTTTTTTCATGAGACTATACAACTCCCCAACCTTGGTGATGATAGGATTTGATTCCAACTCTCTACTACAACCAGCCAGAGACCTTATCAACCGAGCCAATTGTCAGTGTTAGACGCCGACCGGAATAATTTGGGGCCTGATCCTTCAGGTCAGCAGTCCCGATCTGCCATACAGCCATCCTATTGGCTATATTAGACCAAAGGTTGCTGCAAGGTATGCATTCATTTTCTTTGTTAGTTGTATCAACGATTAGGACATCTCAACAATGACTATATCGCAATAAAGTTCTGAAGTTGTAATATATACACTAGTAAACTAGGGATGCAAATCTAAGTTGCCAAGAAGAATTTCAACTACATTGGTTGTGTTTGGTACTATTGGTTTTTCAACCTGCAATGTTTTGAGTTGAGACACTGTTTATACTTGAAACATAAACACCATTATTTGTATTTGAAAGAAATGTGTGTTTTTCATTCATGTCAGAACCACATCAGTGGTGTTGAGACTTTGCTTTCCAGAGCAAGGATTTTCATGTATGACTGTTTTAATTCGAAACAGTTTTCAACCAAACAGAAAATTGATCATTAAACTCTAAGTATATGTTTGGCATCGATCATGCATATACATCACTGTTTTTTGTATATGTGTGGGTTGGAAGCACTGTTTTATGAGAAAATTGTCTTTTTTTTTTTGTTTGGAAACGTTACTGGCAGGTAGGATTTTTCCTGGGGTAATAACAACACCTTCTATTTGGTACTAGTAGTCCATATCTATTTTCAGCACTGGTACTTTTTATAGGAAGTCCACGTCAATGCCACATCATGTCCTCGTTGACAGCAACGAGCTCCAAATTGAGAAAACATCGAATTCGGCATTTCCCCATACCACACCTTCTCGATTTCAAAGGCGTGGTTTGAAGCACCAAAACGGTTCCAAATATGATACTGTTTTCTAGAGCACCAATTTTTCCAGTGTGGCACTGATGTGTCACCGTTTTCTGGAGCAACGGCATTGATGCCAAACACCACCCAAAACGCCTTTGTGGTGCTGATGTTGTGATGTTAATACTGAAAGGTGCAACACTACCAAACAGCCACCAAATCTATCCCTGCATCTTACACCTTGTCTATAGGTTCGGCCTGCTCCAACCCGACCCATTAAGTATGTATGCAGAACCAGTTCCAAACGGGACTTGCTAAGACCTGATTATGACGGCTATACTTTTAATCTGTACTTTGAAAATAAACCCTACTTATTTGTTAAATTGATACTGATGAAGGGGAATTTGGCCTGACCTCACAATCACCCGACACGTGGCAAAAGCAAACAACTCGGGACAGCAGAGCGCCCAAAACGAGCACCGAAAGT